TTTTTTGAGACGGAGTTCACTCTGTTGTCACCCAGGCTGGAGTGCAATGGTGAGATCTTGGCTCACTGCAACCTCTGCCTCCCAGGTTCAGGCAATTCTCCTGCCTCAACTTCCAGAGTAGCTGGGATTACAGGTACCTGCCACCAGGCCCAGCTGATTTTTGTATTTTTAGTAGAGACAGGTTTTCACCATGTTGGCCAGGCTGGTCTCAAACTCCTGACCTCAGGTGATTCACCCACCTTGGCCTCCCAAAGTGCTAGGATTATAGGCGTGAGCCACCGTGCCCAGCCTCCACTTCAGTCTTTATCACAAAAGGGTGCTAAAGAAAAAACCAACCAACACCACACAAAACACTGTCTCCAGTCCTGGTTGGCAAAGAATGAAATTACACCAGTGACTTCAATTTAAGAGGCAACAATTCCAACACCTGATTGGTCTCCTTTAATCATCAGAAGGTGCATGTGGCCCAGGAAAGGGAGAGCTGACTCGGTACCTGATCCAGTCCTCCTCTAGCTCATCACAGGATTCACCGCCAGTTGTGTAGTCTGTTTCATAGTGGTCTTGCTCTGTTCTCTTTGACTTTCCCGCTCTTCCCTTTGCAGGAGGCCTTTCTGAAGGTGTCTCAAAGTTACTGCTGCTGCTGTAACGAGGCTGCCTGAAGTCATCCACAGGTGAAGTCACTGGAAGCTCCCGAACCACTTCAGGAACCCTAATAAAAACAGGCATCATTGTTGAGTACACTATAGCCGCTTGCCAGTGCACTGTAATCACAGAGTGTAATCACACAGCAATAACAAACACCAGGAGACATCTGCATGCAGGTGCACTCACGCAAGGACTTCACCTGCTCAACACCGAGCAGATGCCTAGTTTCCTGCATTCAATTTGACAGCAGCTCAGGGTCCCCTAACACACACAAGTAGTAGCTTCCAATTTAAAGGGGATTAGCCATTTTTAAACCTAAGTACAATGCATCTCAGATTTCATTTTAAAAGCTCAGGCTGATCTACAAGAAGCATTTACTTAACCTGTGCCAGGGACATACTCTACAAAGGCTATCAGGAAAATAATGATCATGATTCTTTTCTACAGGTTCTTTTAGTTCCATGGAATGCTGTGTGGGGAGGAATGCACATACACTCTTTATAATATTAATCTTTTTTTTTTTTTTGGCAGAGTCTCGCTCTGTCACCAGGCTGGAGTGCAGTGGCGTTATCTCGGCTCACTGCAACTTCTGCTTCCCAGGTTCAAGCAATTCTCCTGCCTCAGCCTCCTGTGTAGCTGGGGACTACAGGCATGTGTCACCCATGCCCAGCTAATTTTCGTATTTTTTAGTAGAGACGGGGTTTCACCATGTTGGCCAGGATGGTCTCAATCTCTTGACCTCATGATCCACCCACCTCAGCCTCCCAAAGTGCTGGGATTACAGGCGTGAGCCACTGTGCCCGGCCTATAATATCAATCTTATACTCCCATATATCAATTCTCATATTAAGAGAAAATCTTGCAGAATAAACTAAATATCTAAACTAAAAAATTGAAAAGCTTTACATTGCAATAAAGTTAAGAGTCCTTTTAGGATTCTTTTTTAAATTGCTGTTAATCCTGAAGCCAGTAGAATGAACAGAAGGGTTACCATCACACGCTTACTATTTTTTCTAATAAAATTATTCAAATTGCATCAGAATTGCATATTTAAATTGCTTATGTTTCAGCCACAAACATGAAAATAACCCTAACTGAGGAATAAAATACCAATGCTGAAAGTGGGAACTACTTTTGAGTAAAAGAAATACGAAGTTTCATGATCCTGTAGAAAAGGGCAAGAACAGCCTAGCTTTCTAATCAACTATTTAAAATGTCTGAAGCGTTTCTTTTTGATGCCAGTTTACATAAACTATCATACTGAGCTTTATAAACTACCAGGTTTAGTCCCTCTTCTAAGTGATCTACATGTGCTTTGCTCTGTTGTCAGAGTCTTAGATTTCTAAGCACATAATTTCTTGCAGACTCTTTGGGGTACATGTGTGTAGATGCAGGTGAGAGTGGTATTTATTTCTTCTTTAAAGATTTATGGCCAGGGGCAGCAGCTCACACCTGTAATCCCAACACTTTGGGAGGCCAAGGTAGGCGGATCACTTGAAGCTGGTAGTTCAAGACCAGCCTGGCCAACACGGTGGAAACCTTTTTTTTGAGACGGAGTTTCACTCTTGTTGCCCAGGCTGGAGTGCAATGGCGCGATCTCGGCTCACTGCAACCTCCGCCTTCTGGGTTCAGGCAATTCTCCTGCCTCAGCCTCCTGAGTAGCTGGGATTACAGGCATGCGCCACCATGCCCAGCTGATTTTTTGTATTTTTAGTAGAGACAGGGTTTCACCATGTTGACCAGGATGGTCTCGATCTCTTGACCTCGTGATCCACCCACCTCGGCCTCCCAAAGTGCTGGGATTACAGGCGTGAGCCACCGCGCCCGGCCTCGAAAACCTGTCTTTACAAAAAATATAAAAATTAGCCATGCACTGTGGCAGGCATCTGTAATCCCTGCTACTTGAAAGGCTGAGGCATGGGAATTGCTTGAACTCAGGAGGCAGAGGTTGCAGTGAGCTGAGATCATACCAGCCTGGATGACAGAATGAGAATCTGTCTCAAAAAAAAAAAAAAAAATTTTTTTTATTAAGGTAATATGGCTTTGTGTGCTATGCTAATGTTACTTCTAATGGAGGGAAAATGTGACTTTCTCCATGAGTCAATGATTAACAAGTTCCTAGACACTCTGCCAAAACTGCCAGGTACTATGCTTCTTCTTTGAGGGAGCAAAACAAAACGTTTAGAATGCAGTGGATCTATTTTAGGGGTGGGGCCAAAGAGAGAGGAAACTAAAGGGCAAAATAAATTAGATAAAAACCATAAAAGAAAAAATAAAACATCAAAAGCAGACCTCCTGCCAGAATTTTTATGACACTGATATATATCTTTACCTTGGAAGTCGTCCTCCCCTCCTCCTACACTCTTTAAAATATTAGCATACTTGATCTAGCATGAAAGCTAAAAGCAAAATGTTTCACAAGAAAGTACTGACTACAGGTGTGAGCAACACCACACTGGGCTAATTTTTAATTTTTTTGTAGAGACAGGGTCTCACTATGCTGTCCAGGCTGGGCCATCCACATTTCCCTAGCTGCATTATCTTTTCCGTCTAGCATGAAGTTCCCTTTCCCAAAGCTTATATAGCAAAAACATTCTGATTGGCCCTTCTTGGGTCACTATCATCCTTGAAGCCAGGAGAATATTCTCTGACAAGCAAGACTTAGATATGTCTCCCAATAATGATGGCAGCTCTAAAATACCGTGTGTATAACAAACATCATTCTAACAGCTCCAAAATACCGTGTGTATAACAAACATCATTCTAACAGTCACGGCACTGGATGCTGATCATGGATTGTTTCTCTGACTTCACTGACTCTGTGTATAATAAGAAAAGGATTCTTATGATTGTGTTTTCAATTCAGTAATTATCCTGAACACCTAACATGCGTACAGTACTGAGCCAGGTGACTGCGGGAAGACCAGGTCCATGTTCTCATGGAGGCCACAAAATAGGAGTGGAGAAAGTGCACAACAACTACACTGAGAGTCAGGGCAAGGTAGGAGCAACAAAGGCAGCGTGAAGGAGTGTGTGTGAGAATAAAACAAATGAATGAAGAATAAAAAGAACAAGCTGGCTGGGTGCAGTAGCTCACACCTGTAATCCCAGCACTTTGGGAGGCCAAGGCAGGAGTTTGAGTTAGTTAGCCTGACTAACATGGTGAAACCCCTGTCTCTACTAAAAATACAAAAACTAGCTGGGTGTGGTGGTGCATGGCTGTGATCCAGCTACTCAGGAGGCTGAGGTGAGAGGATCGCTTGAAGCTGGGAGGTAGAGGTTGCAATAAGCCCAGATGGGACCAATGTACTCCATCCAGCCTGTGTGACAGAGCTAGACTCCATTTCAAAAAAACAAAAAACAAAAACAAGTCAGGCGTGGTTGCATGCACCTGTAGTGCTAGCTACTCAGGAGGCTGAGGCAGAAGGATCACTTGAGAGCAGGAGTTTGAGGATTTAGTGAGCTATGATCACACCACAGCACTCCAGCCTGGGTGAAACAGTGAGACCCTGTCTCTAAAAAGTTTAAAAACTTTTTTTAAAGTGATAGGTGGCTATCCTGTCACAACAGAAGCTCAACTGAGAATAAAGCCAACAAATCAACAGATGAAAGAGAGCACACAGAGCGCTGCCATATTCTGAATCCCTTGATTATGTCATGCCTGAAGCTAGAGGCATTCTTGGGCCTCATGTGACTCAGATAATTCCTCCTTTTTCCCTAAGCTATTTTTTTTCCATGATTTTTCTTTTTAATTGAGACAAGGTCTCCCTATGTTGCTCAGGCTGGTCTCGAACTCCTAGCCTCAAGCAATCCTCCCACCTCATTGGCTTCCCAAAGTGCTAGGATTATCAGCCTGAACCACCATGCACAGTCGTAAACTAGTTGAAACTAGGTTTCTAAAATTCCTCTAACTTGGATAAAAGACCTAATATCATTCTACCAGCCTATTACTACCAAACAATGATCTCATTTGACACTGCAAAGAGTCAGCCTGCTTTGAAAGCTTCGCGCTGCAGCAACATTCAACTTTCTTGATTTATGAAGGGTAATTCCACCTGGGTGTGGACAGGATAGTCAGGAATGTACCAAGTTCATTTGGTAAGTTTGGAGAGGCACCCATCTGCAGCTAAATTCTGGTGTCCCCAATGCTGGATTAATTCTCCAAGCTGACTACCTTAAAATTCTAAGGTATAGGACATTATAAGCAAAAGGAGCCAGATATGAGAGTAAATTGCATGATTCCATTTTATATCAAGTCCAATAATAACACATAAACAGATGATGACAGACATCAAAACAGCAGTTACCTCGGGGTGGGTGTGGGTGGGTACTGATGGAGAAAGGGTCCATGGGGACCTTATGTGGGGCTCAAATGTCTTTATCTTGGTGCTGGGACTTAAGTGTTCATATCAGGGAAAACTCATCAAGCTGCATACTCAACATTAGTGCTCTTTTTATGGAATGTACATTATGCTATGGGAGAAAAATACATCTTAATGCTGAGTTACCTCATCCTTAGCATGGATGGACAGACACAATGTTCTCCATCCAATTCCTTCTCTATCCACTAGAGTGGTGAGAAAGAGAGGTGCTCATGGGTTACTAAGCACCTGCAAGAATGCTTTAGGAAAGACAGGATATGACTTATGTGTTCTTATTCCCATTGAAGTAGATGTCCTTTGAATCCTCTATAACACTCAGTACTCTACTATGAACTACACTTTACAATTTCTTTATTTTTATTTTTATTTTTATTTTTAAGACTAAGTCTCGCTCTGTCACCCAGGCTGGAGTGCAGTGGTGCAATCTCCACTCACTGCAACCTCTGCCTCCTGGGTTAAAGCAATTCTCCTGCCTCGGCCTCCCAAGTAACTGGGATTACAGGCACATGCTGCCACATCCACCTAATTTTTTTGTATTTTAGGAGAGACAGGGTTTCACCATTTTACCCAGGCTGGTCTCGAGCTGATTGCCAGCTAAGCTCAGGCAATCCACCCACCTCAGGCTTCCAAAGTGCTCGGATTACAGGCGTGGGCCAAAACCCTTCCATCATTACCACGCTCTGAGGAAGATATCGTTCATTCATTGGGGAAAAGTGTGCATTACATAGGACGAATATGTTAAGTATACCAGCCGTGCACGGTGGCTCATGGGCTCACGCCTGTAATCCCAGCACTTTGGGAAGCCAAGGCAGGCAGATCATCTAAGGTCAGGAGTTTGAGACTAGCCTGGTCAACACGGCAAAACTCCTTCTCTACTAAAAATTACCTGGGTAATCCCAGCTACTCAGGAGGCTAAGGCAGGAGAATCATTTGAATCCGAGAGGCAGAGGTTGCAGTGATCCGAGATTGAGCCATTGCACTCCAGCCTGGGTGACAGAGTGAGACTCCACCTCAATCAATCAATCCATCATGTATAGCTATTTAATAGACTATTATACAGCTATAAAATAGAATAGTGCTTCTTCTTGGTTATAATTAAAAAAAAAAAAACAACAGAATCAATCGACTCATTGCATAGTGATATGGACAATACCCAAGATAAAATATATTGCTAATAATACATTTGATATGATACTATTTTTTCTTTTTTTTTTTTTGAAACAGGGTCTTGCTCTGTCACCCAGACTGAAGTAAAGTGGCACAGTCTTGGCTCACTGCAGCCTCGACCTCCTGGGCTTAATCAATCCTCCCACCTTGGTCCTGAGTAGCTAGGACTAGAGGCATGTGTTACCATGCCTGGCTAATCTTTCTATTTTTCGCAGAGAGGGGATTTAGCAATAATGCTCAGGGTGTTCTTGAACATCTGGGCTCAAGCAATCCACCCACCTCAGCCTCTCAAAATGCTGCAATTACAGGCATGAGCCACTGTGCCCAGCTCTGGTATGCTAGTATTTTAAAGGGGCAGAGGGGAGAAATCAATGTACTTTGGCCAATATTTTATTGCTTTTAATCTTTGGAGAAATACAAAAGAAACTGATGACATTAGTTGTCTTTGGGGAGAGGAACTAGTTAGCTGGTACCTTTTGTCCCTTTGAAATTTTATACTATATAAAGTATTCATTTCAAGACTAAGATTAATCCTTATTAAGGAATAAGATTTTCAAATGAATTTGTGAAACCATCCTGGTTTTCATGAAAAGGGACAACACCAGAAAATGCTGTGGAACCATGCAGGCCTTACAATTTAGAGGCACAGCTGGTGACAAGACATATTGTAGACAGATATTTTGCATGTATGAAAGTTCTGCAGATTGGCCCTTTTATAGTTAATGGGCATGATGATTGGGTGTTCACACATGTGTGAAATGTGCCACCCTCAAATCTTGTTACAATATTTCACATTACCTGTCTGACATGAAAAAGAAGAGAAAAAAAATGTTCTGCAAATCATAGCTTAAAACTTTTAGAGGCTGAGGCAGGAAGATCACTTAAGGCCAGGAGTTCGAGACTATCCTGGGCAACAAAGCAAGACCCCCTTCTCTACAAAAATAAAAATAAAAAATTAGCCAGGCATAGTGGCACACACCTACGGACCTGGCTAAAGTGAGCTATGAGGCAAGAGGACTGCTTGAGCCCAGGAGTCCAAGATCACAGTGAGATGTGATCACACCACTGAACTGTAGGTCTGGGTAGCAGAGTGAAATACTGTCTCAAACAAACTATGGAAGGAAAAAAAAAAAACCCCTTTATAAGGATTGCATCTCTCTCGTGTACCCTTTTCCCTAACAGTCTCAAGTGCTTTTAATTTTTGTCAAAATCCAAAGAGAAGAAATAACAGAGAAAATGTGCTTTCTTGCCAGGTGCGGTGGCTCACACCTGTAATCCTAGCACTTTGGGAGGCCAAGGTGGGTGGATCACAAGGTCAAGGGATCGAGACCATCCTGGCCAACATGGTAAAACCCCATCTCTACCAAAAAAAAAAAAAAAAAAAATCTGGGTGTGGTGGCACTCGCCTGTAGTCCCAGCTATTCAGGAGGATGAGGCAGGAGAATCACTTGAACCCAGGAGGTAGACGTTGCAGTGAGCAGAGAGCACACCACCGCCCTCCAGCCTGGTGACAGAGCGAGACTCTGTCTCAAAAAAAGAAAAACAAAGCGCTTTCTCCAAATCATTCACAATTGAAATCAATAGCAAGATCAAGTCTGAATACCAAAACAAAACATGTAAGAGTTTGAGGAGTCGTCAGACTGCCAGTCTTTTCCCAAATTCGATCCCAGGGTAATAATAAAGGTTATTGTCTTCAAATTAATTCTGTAATTAACTCCGCTGCTGATGTCATCTTATAGGTTTCCAGGCTTAAACTACTATGCACCCAGAGTAAATCTCATATACCATGGCCCACTAATCAGGAGTCAGGCATTGGGGATAAAACTTGGAAGTAGGCCAGGTACAGTGGCTCACGCCTGTAATCCCAACACTTTGGGAGGCTGAGGCGGGTGAAAGCGGGAGGATCACTTGAGGTCAGGAGTCGAAGAACAGCCTGGTGGCCGGACATGGTGGCACATGCCTGTAATCCCAGCACTTTGGGAAGCTGAGGCAGGCAGATCGCTTGAGCCCAGGAGTTCAAGAGTAGCCTGGGCAACATAGTGAGATCCTATCTCTACAAAAAAAAATAGAAAAACATTAGCTGGACATGGTGGTGCACAGCTACGCAGGGGACTAAAGTAGGAGGATTGCTTGACCACAGGAGGTCAAGGCTACAGTGAGCTATGATCACACGACTGCACTCCAGCCTGGGTGACAGATCGAGACCACGTCTCTACCAAAAAAATAAAATGCTTATAGAATAAGGAAAATATTTCTCTATGTCTAGACAATGTAGGTGTGGTTTGTCTGTTGTTATTGTTGTTTTAAGTCTCACTATATTACCCAGGCTGGATTTGAGCTCCTGGACTCAAGTGATCCCTCCCACCTCAGCCTCCCAATTAGCTGGGACTACTTGTGTGCACGACTGTGCCAGGCTTTGTGATTGTGTTTTATTTTGTTGTTGTGTTGTTTTTTATACAGAGTTTCACTCTGTCACCAAGGCTAGAATACAGTGGTGCGATCTCAGCTCAATGCAACCTCCGCCTCCCAGAGTCAAGTGATTCTCCTGCCTCAGCCTCTCAAGTAGCTGGGATTATAGGTGTGTACCACTATGCCCAGCTAATTTTTGTATTTTTAGTAGAGACAGGGTTTCGCCATGTTGGCCAGGCTGGTCTTGAACTCCTGACCTCAGGTGATCCACCCGCCTCGGCCTCCCCAAGTGTGGGGATTAAGCAGAAATAGCAAAAACCACATTCCTAGGGTGAAAGAACCCAACCCAGCCTTTCCATTAAACAAGCAAGTGAAAAGAAGCATTTTCAGCTTAGAAGGGAAAGAGAGCCCCATCCTCTTCATCCTGGTCTTCCAAGTAGCCAGGGGCCTCTCTACCAACAAAGCAAAGATTAAGGGCGTAAGCCACTGCACCCAGCCATGTGATTGTGTTTTAAGAGTCTAAAAAATTAAAGTTATAGAAAGCTAAGATTTATTACTAAAGAAAGAAAAATGTTGAGTAAATTTTTTTTTTTTTTTTTTTTTTTTGAGACGGAGTTTCGCTCTTGTTACCCACACTGGAGTGCAATGGCGCCATCTCGGCTCACCTCAACCTCCGCCTCCTGGGTTCAAGCAATTCTCCTGCCTCAGCCTCCCTAGCAGCTGGGATTACAGGCACGCGCCACCATGCCCAGCTAATTTTTTGTATTTTTTTTTTTTAGTAGAGACGGGGTTTCACCATGTTGACCAGGATGGTCTCGATCTCTTGACCTCGTGATCCACCCGCCTCGGCCTCCCAAAGTGCTGGGATTACAGGCTTGAGCCACCGCGCCCGGCCCAATGTTGAGTAAATTTAAAGTGTACAGTAACGTACTTCACATTCACTCACCACTCACTCCCTTACTCACCCAGAGCAACTTCCAGTCCTGCAAGTTCCACTCCGGGTAAGTACCTTACAAAGATGGACCCTTTTTTAATCTTTTACATTTACTGTACCTTTTCTGTGTTGAGATATACTAATACTTACCACTGTATTACAAATGCCTAGAGTATTTAGTACATTAACATGCTGTCCACATTTGCAGTGTAGAAGCAAGAAGCTATACCATGTAGCCTAGGCTTGTAGTAGGCTATCCATCAAGGTTTGTGTTAAGTACACTGCGATGTTCACACAAGGATGAAATGCCTAAAGACACACTTCTCAGTATTCCCATCATTAAACAATGCATGACTGTATATGTAAAAATACCGACTTTATCATCCTTAAGCAAAAATTACATCCCCGTCCATACCAATTATCTGCAATATTCTTCTCTGACTAGTCATTAGGTAGAATTAAAATTGGGCTTTAGGGTAAATGTTTCCACCAGAGACACCACTTCAATAATCACATGGCACCTACCCTAAGCCAGATGCTTACTGAGGTTTCACATCTCCCAGCAATACCGAGGACCTAGCACAGCAAATGAAATACTGCAATTCCTGGATTCAAATGAAGTCTTCTACTTTAATAGAAATGTATGTGGACAAGGTTGATTAATGTGCAATGTCCTCCTTCTGTTTATGAGATTCAACAATTAGAGGCAAAAGAAGAGGTTGAGCACAGTACTGACCGCTGCTCAGTAACTTCCTTTCACCCTCACCTAAACTTCAAAACCAGAAACAGCAGAGCCACATTCCCAGAGTGAAAGAGCCCAGCCCAGCCTTTTCAATTAAATAAGCAAGTGAAAAGCATTTTCAACTTAGAAGGGAAAAAGAACCCCACCCTCCTCATCTCCCTCTTCTAAGTAGCGGAAGACCTCTCTATCAACAAAGCAAAGATTGTTGTAATACCAGGATCCAGATCCAGTTTTTGTGTGCACTGCTGGATACTTTTTTTTCTTTTTCTTTATTTTCCCATTGCATTCCTAGATGACGCTGGATTTTTTTTTATGGATAAAGGCACAAAACAACAAAAATCAATCATGTGCAAATACTCATTTTTACACTCAGTCTATCAAACTAAAAGAGCTGCTACTTACGGTGTGGATTTATAGGAAGACTCTGGATAAAACCGCTTGTCATTCACTTTGCCATTGGAAGAGTATGCCATGGGACTGTCAACTCTTTCCACATAGTCAGATGGGGGTGGAGGCATGTCCTCTGTGCCTGCAGACACATTTTTAACCTTTAAAAAACCCCAAGAGATAGTTATTATTTATCTTGTAATGAAAAGGGGGAAGATATTGAAGAAAATTATCTTATATACATGATCTAATATTTATGTGGCTCATTAAATGTTATTAACACTAATAATAAAAAGGGAATCAATACAAGTTAATAGTCAAATCCATTTTTTAATAGACATATAAACAGTGCTACTGCTAAACAAGTATGAAGGAAAATCTGATCACCTAATTCTCATCCTAATGTGATTTAGGTTGAATAATTAACTGTGGCAATTTTCCACCTCCATGTTAGGAAGACTGGTCTCATTATCTCATGCCCACATTAGAAAGACCAGTCTCATTTAACCTAAGCTAGGTCTGGGTTAGAATTTTCATTTCTGACAACCTCTCAGGTAGTGCTAATGTTGCTGTCTGGGCACCACACTTGGAAAAGCACTAATCTAGAACAAAGCACACTGGTGGTTCTTAATCCATTCATCTCTAAACGTGGAATGTTAAAACCACAAAAGAAATTAAGAAGCTCAAACTGACTTCTGCTCTTTTAATAAGAGATTTGTTTATTCTCCCTCAATGTATGTTCTCAATGGCTGTATCATTAATAGCATGCACAACGTATCACACAACATCGGTGCCTTCCCTTTTCACTTTCCTTATTTCATTCTGATGTGTAAGTGAATTCATCCTACAGAAGTAACATGCCTTGTTAATGTAAAATACATATATAGATACTTCTTATCTGAGGAATGCAAGCCCTTTCTTAAAGCTTATCAGGCCAGAGAGGCATTAAAATTAAACAGCAAACAGAGCTCTGTAGTTATCTCCAGAAACTGCTTAACGTAACAATGCTACCCTGCTATAGCTCAACAACCTATCAATATTATTTCCATAAATCAATGAGAATTCCTGATAAACAACTTTGTTTCTGCCCACTCCTTGTCCCCTTTTTTGCCTTTAAAAACTTGCTTATAAAAAAGGCGGAATGGAGCACTCCCCAAGGCAGCTTGGAAGCATGTCCCAGGCAGCTGTTCTCAACCTTGGCCCAAATACATTCTCTATATTAATTTTGCCTCAGCTTCTTCCTTTAGGTCAACATTAACATGGAAGGCTTACCACAGAACCTTTGGGAGAAAAAATTTAAGTATAAAAAGCACAGCCAATTAGACTCCCAACACTGTTGGATTTTATGTAACAGTTCCAACACTCTTTAAATTTCACCTAATAGTCTTTAAATTATTACCTATGACTCTGAAACTCTTAAAAAAAAAAATATCAAAGACCTCCAACAAGTGCTAACCGTAGATGAATCACTTAGCTGTTTTAAAGCAAAGGAACAGAAATAAAGTGTGGGAAAAAAATAAAAATAAATCTACAAATTATTTCTGTGAAAAACAGCAGCTTTCCAAAAGGGTTGAACCACTTTAGCTTGGTGATAAGACCAATGGCATTTTAGCCAGGTGAGGTACATGTGCTTGTAGTGCCAGCTACTCGGGAGGCCGTGGGAAGATCTCTTGAGCCTGACAGGTGGAGGCTGCAGTGAGCTGTGACTGTGTCACTGCACTCCAGCCTGGGTAACAGAATGAGACCCTGTCTCAAACATACATACACACACACACACACACACACCCACACACACACCCACAACCCCCCCACACCCCCACACCCAATGGCAATGGCATCAGATTATCTGGGCTCACCCCAGGTCTGCCAACCACAAATTCTATAAAGCCTCAGTTTTCATCTGAGAAAAAAAAAAAAAGGAGAAAACTACCTGCTACATAAAGTTATTTTGATTATTAAATGAGGTGACAAGGTATCACATTTACCATGGTGCCTTTAAACACAGTAAAAATGCAAAAGATGCTGGATTTTAGAATAAGGCCACTGGATTTGATCGAATCATTTTTACAAGAATTTGGAAGTGACAGAAGACCTTTATTTGGATTATCCTGCTATTATAAAGCCTTACAATTAGGTTCAGCATCAATACAGTGTATCTTCCTGCAATACACATTCCTTACGTCTTAAGTTTTAAAACATGAGATGGGCTCTCTTGACTTATCCAGGCAGTATCACATACAGAAAGATATTTACCTACCCGTTAAAGTACATTAGGGTATTCTTGATTGTTTGACATTCAGAGTCAGAAAGGAATAGAATCATTTCCCTCTGGAAGTGGAATTTGGCAGCAACTGTGAAGCCAGTGGGTGGGTTGCCACTGAGTGTGCTCAGATCCCACCACAGGGGGAGGGAGCCCACCACAGGGGAGCCCTCCTGCTTCCCACAGAATTCCTTACAACAAAAACTTACAAAAGAAGTTGCCAAGCTTCACAGGCAAATGCTTCACCAAACCAAAGGCCTATTCTTAATCCAACACCTCATCGGAATTTAAAAATCCTTCCTTTGCTTAAAAACCCATTTTATAGTCAAAGATGACTGCCAAAATAAAAATTTAAAAAAATGAAAACCCATTTTATACTTCTCTAGACCCCACCCCTTCCCCCCAGCATGAGCTTTGGCAGAGTCCGAGTATAAGAGTCAGAGATTTCTTACTGGCTAGAACGCCCTTCCCCTTTTGCCAGCTATTCTTTATTTGGGCTTCAATTCCAGGTTCAAGTGCCACCACCTCCTCCTTGAAGCCTTCCATACAAGGCCCTCCTGGAAGAGGCACCAACCTGTGCTATCTCCCCACACCTGTGCATACGAACCTCCCAGCAGATCGCTTATGCACTGCCGAACAAGTGCTTATTCACAGTACAATGGCTTGTTCACCTATCTCACTTCGGTAGGCAGTGGACGGCTTAAGCTACAGCTATCTGACCGCTTACAATGAGTGAAATACTGAAGTGACAGATCATTCAGTAGGCATGGCTTTAAAGGCAAATATTCTTCCTTTTTCAGAAATGAGGAAGCTGTGGCTCAAGGAGTTACACAACTTTCCCAAGAAACTAGACGTAGAAAATGGAAGGGCAGGCAGCGTCTTTCTTTCCTCTTTGAGTCTCCAAAGGCCCACACGGTGTCTGGCACAAATCAGGAGCCCCAAGTTTGCTACATAAAGGTTACCTCACTGATTACTGTTCTATTCCTACGTTGTATACCCAAGTATCTTATCAGTGAGGCACACTGAGCTGACCTTTATCTCTCAGAGTCAGCAGAACTGGACTAGCTTGACCACTGACTCCACCCTCCAGCACAGATCTTTGATTAATTAATCCTTTTCTATACACATGCATAATAAATTCCAAGGCAGTGCTCCTTTCAGCAGCACATATACTAAAGTTGAACAATACAGAAAAGATTAGCATGGCCCTCGCACCAGGATGGCACCAAATTCATGGAACATTCCATATATACGTATATTTTAAATCCTGAGCCAGCTGTGATGCCAGACTCAAAGAAGAATAAGCAGCAACCTTTTTCCTCAAAAGGAGCTTAGAGACTAGAGGCAAAGGGAAAATATATTTGAAAAACAAAGAGTAAGATCACTTTTTTTCCCTCTTTACGCTTCAACTTGCCTGAAAAAAGGCTAAAATATTTTTTCCTCTAATCCACTTAATGGTACCAATGAAAAGTAAGTATAAACCCATTATCTGCAGCTTTTGAAGGACAGTAGGAAAGTAGAATGAGGATTGGGGGCAATACAAAGTGAACAGGTGCTCGTTTCTACAAGGAGTCTCCAACCGATATGTCCTATTATTATGAGAAAGGACTTCTGAGTTTCACTGTTATTACTGATATGATCCCCAGTCAGCTCATCAAACTCAATGATGTAGCTAAAGTTATCTTAAAAAAGTTTTTTTTAAGACAGGGTTTCACCATGTTGGTCAGGCTGGTCTTGAACTCCCGACCTCAGGTGATCCACCCGCCTTGGCCTCCAAAGTGCTTGGATTACAGGCGTGAGCCACCATGCCCGGCCAAAAAAGATTTTAATTTTCACAGTAACTTTTTTTTTTTTTTTTTCTTAAGAGATGAGGTCTTGCTATGTTCCCCAGGCTGGACTTGAACTCCTGGGCTCATGCGATCCTCCTGCCCCAGCCTCCTGAGAAGTTGGAACTACAGGCTCACACCACATCTCACTTTTAAAGATTGAGAACTTGAGAAAACCAACTAGGCATAATTTTTAACAGCAAAATGTCTTTGTGACAATTTTCCCTTATGTGACTTGAGGATATCTCTAAGAAATTAGGGGCAGAAGAAAGCAGGATGAAAATACAAACTAAAGATTTGTCTAGGTTGGGCGCAGTAGCTCATGCCCGTAATCCCAGCACTTTGGGAGGCCAAGGCAGGAGGGAATACCTGAAGTTGGGAGTTCTAGACCAGCCTGGCCAACATGGTGAAACCCCATCTCTAATAAAAATACAAAAATTAGCCAGACATGGTGACACACGCCTGTAATCCCAGCTACTCTGGAGGCTGAGGCAGGAGAATTGCTTGAACCCGAGGTTACAATGAGCCAAGATCCACCACTGCAGTCTAGCATGGGTGACAAACTCCATCTCAAAAAAAAAAAAAAAAAAAGTAACTCAGACTTACTCTTGAAATGAAATTCAAAACGGACAAGCAAGCACTTACACTGGATATGCTTAAGGAGTATGAATTATTAATTTCGGGGATATGCAGGGAAGTTTTAAGATTCTTATTCTGATCAAGAAAGAATTTAAGGTGTTTCCGAAATATCAAAATAAAATATCAAAAGATCTTCACAAGAGGTCATTATGATGAGGATAAATTTTTATTCAAAGTTTAATCATACTCATTAGAAGTGTTTAGATTATGTCGCTTGTGAAAAAAAATCTTTGTGACAAATAACACTTAGCACTCCTTGGAGAGTTAATGAAAACATCCTAAACCCCTGTGGGATGCCAAAAGGAAAACAAAGAGGGCAGCTCTGCTTTAGAGCATCTCAGGTGCTCTTCTCCAAATATCTGCCATGATTCTTCCTCACCTGAGACTAAGATGGGTCTACACCATCATGTTGGTCCCACCTTTCCCACCCAGACTCCCTGAAGTCAGAGAAGGAATAAAAAGGCCAAGAATGAATGTTCTAGGTTACTATGAAAGAAACTTCTCCAAAACAAAGATTAGGAAAAACACTTATCCTCACTTAAATCAATTTCATATTTCATTTGGAGTTAGTAAAAGCAAAAAATTGCAATGATAGCTAATACTCTTTTCTCCTCACCCTAATTTCATCCCTAGTTCACATATGGAAGAGTCAGGCTAAACCTGTATCCATGTGGTCTAGCAACGTGACAAAAGCCATCTACCTCTATGAAGGAAAAGGAAGTTCACCTGTTGAGTATTTAGTATTGTGCCAGGCAAACCTGACTTCGTTTATTCTCACCACCATCCAGTGAGATGCAATTATCTCTATTTTCGGATGAGGAAATTGAGCCTCCACGATTAAATTAACTTGCTCAAAGTCACAGAGAAGGAAAGTAGCAGAGGAGAGATTTGAACCCTGGTCTATCTAGCTCCAAAGCCCAGCTCTTCCTGGCGTAGCAAACTGCCACCTCAAGTATTCAAACATGGCTTGAAGTACCCATCTTGGCTGGGTATTTTGACCAGTCTTTGTAACAAAGGAGACCATTCTCATTTCCTTAAACTCCTCGCCATTTTGAAGAGTTTTATTTGCTTATTAGTTTAACTTTGTAAGAGCAGCTATTGATGCAAAATTATTATGAGTACGTTTCAGTCACCAGGTGCCTTTGTTTAGGTCAGCATTTAGGAACACCTCCCTCAAAAGGGAAAGAGTATGGTTTTCCCAGGTGGGTGATTAAAGTGGAGAAATACCTCAGGCATCAGAGGGAGGGGCATCTTAATCTCAAGGATCATCTCCAGGTTTACAACCTGCCCATTCCACCCTCCATTAGCCCTATGCCCTTGTACTGCAGGTTCTCAACAGTAAGTGGTCCAACTCGTTTTTCCTGTTTTCTGATATTTTACACCCTCAGATACTCCCCCCAATAAAAGCTTCAAAATCGACTCTGGAAAGTTCTCTTAGACTTTTTTCCACCTTTGGTCACTTGAAGGCAGATGGTCCCACATCTACTAATCTCACAAAGAGATTGTGGACCAGGTTTGAACAAGTCTGGTTATTTTACCTTGCTGAGATGGCACTCAGGATTTAGGAAACAAACTGCCTCCTACCCAACTGCACGCTGTCCAAAGAAATAGTAATAATATAGACCAATGAGAACTATAAATAAAATTCTAAGCCCCCAACCGAGAAGCCTCCCTTTTGGCCAAGAGTACCCCAGAGAAATCTTAACTGAGCTCCTGGCCATGACAGAATGTGAGGTCAGACACAATTCATTTACTCTCTCCCTTTTGCGGTTTAGACACAACTGACCAGCATTATTGTTAACACAGAGATCATTAAGATTGACAGAACTAGACCTTTTGTGGCAATAAAACACCAAATTATAAACAAGACCTAAGGCCATGCCAGGCAAGAGTTAAATCACACACTCATACCTTTGTTCTAATCATACACTATGTTCTCAGCACCATAAGGTTTCTCTTTTTCTCCAGCAGCCAAATAAGCAAAATTAAAGCAACTGCACATGCCTACTATGCACCCACAAAAATTAACAACTTACAAAAAAGAAAACTGCAGCTCATCCACCAACAGACACTGACTAACTGACCCCTTTTCCACAAGCCATACAGCTTTGACTGGACAAGAGACTGATTTCAGTAACCTTCTCCTGATAAGAGACTGGCAGCTGTGGACTGGTTCTGGCCAGCTTGCAGAGGCTGCACGTGTGTGCCTTGTGTTCCTGCTTCAGGTTCTGATGTATAGGGCCTAACTGTAATACATTTAAATGTTAAGTGCCCACCCCAAAGTGAACAGGAGAGGCATGCAATATGAATGTTCAGTGTGCATGCATCAGGATCCCTTTCATGAATATTCACAGCTCCTCCTCCTGTAACCTGTTGAATAGGAATGTGCAGCCAACCTGTTCAGCATTAAGTTCTTGTCCCAACTCCTTTTCCTTCTACGTGCCTTTCAGTCTCTGCCACAAGCTATGCTTCCAAGCCTGTCAAGGATTGCCACCTTGCAGGTTGCAGGCCTTTACAAGAAATAAAGTCTCCTTTCTACTTTTTTTTTTTTTCTTTCACAGCTAGAGATCCTTTCTCAATTTATAATTGTGCCATCTTTAGGTTGACACCAGCAAAGGTAAATTCTGAAATTCCCTAAGAGTCAATGAATTCTTAGAGCTTTGGAAGGGGATGAGGTAGAAAAACCTTGTTATGTACTCAGTGAGTGAGGCTTATCGATGATCTCATTCAAGGCCCCTTACTTAAACGAAAATCCCTGTGAAGACTGTTAGTTTAATATACCTGTACCTCATGCCAGAGTTTCTCAACAGGTGTGCCAGGCGGTATGAAATGTCTTTGGCCCCCCAACCTGTGAGCCAGTTATCATCTGCAGTTCCAGATCCCCCTCAGTTTACTCCAGTATCTTGTACTAAGTTATCATTTTCCAAGTATGCCATGATGTAATCATAACTCGCTTGCCCTTTAACGGTTGCAGCTTAAGTCTATAAAACAGCGGTTCTCAAAATATGGTCCCCAGACCAGCTACATTAATATTACCGACATAGGCCCTACCCAGACCTAGTGCATCACAAACTCCAGGGTGGGAGTGAGTGGGTTGTTTCAATGAACCCTCCAAGTGATTCTGATGCTTGCAAAAGTTTGAGAACCACTGATGTAGATACAATTCTCTTCTATGTTGCAGACCACTTGTACCTTATAAAGACCTACAAGTGAAGGGTCCTTTGCCTGCAGTGGTGCAAAAACTTGGCAATGCCTGGTTTTCTGGCCCAGGTGTGGTAAAATAACCTAGAGCAACAGTGAGAAGGTTCACTTGGCATGAGAACAGCTGAAGGCATCCACTTTTATTACAATAGAAACATTAGTTGATTCTCAGCCCTGAGAAGGACCTCTATCATACCATCAACACAACAGGAAAGGGAAGGAACACATCTTTCCCTAACTAAAGGAGAGCAGGCACTTTGGGCTTGTCTTATCTATAAAGGATTAGTCATCTGCGAGAAGGACACTAATGATCACGCCAATAGACTATACTTCCTCAGAACTATGCCTCATATAAAAAGTTGACCTTTACCCCATCAAAACTCTTATAAAAATCAAGAGTATCAGAGAAACTGGTTGAGTTTTGCCACCTTAGCAATTGCCAAAAGGTAAAAAGTAGAAGAGAAAACACATTAGGCCAATAAACATGACATGTTCAGAAGAAATATAAACCAAGACAACAGTGCTGCACTTTTACACAGTTGATTGGCAAACATTATAAAGTCTAACACCACACCAAGAGTTGCTGG